ACAGAAGCTGTCCCCAAGTGCCAACAAGCTCATAAAGAAAAATCTGATTTTCACCGTCCAATTGCATTTTATTTCCATGTTTACCTATCGACACCAATCAATGCAATATATACTTACAACCACAAACTTTTTACACTTAAATCAGCATTCCAACAGAACTTAAACAAAGCATGTACTCATATGATTGAAAGGCAGATTCCAGTTTTTCTCAATTATAGGTATAGTCGACTCTACTTGAAAGACATAGGAACATAACAAGAATATGAAACTTCTGTTACGCGAGCAAAAATGAAAGAAAAATCTTAAACAAGGATCAAGAAGTGGAATTTTGATGTGACTAAACAACTGAGTCATCTTCATGACATGAACTAAAGAGATAAAGCAACTTGGCATGACTATTGGTATTGGGAGAGTAACGTAAGTTTCAGTAAAACACAAGAATGATCTGATAACTCCTGATAATAGTGACACCAGCAACGGCTAAAATTGTTGGGAAGAATCCAAACAACAAGTGTTTAAAACCTAACTTATATTCGTGACAATGAATAATAACAATCTCCTTATGACTTTGACTTGTTTGCTCTTTCTTTACATGGCAATTCAAGGATGAGGAATAAGGTACAATGTAACATAATTTTCTTATCAGAAACACTTGATCATACTCACTGTCACTGTGCCAGAGCAGTCATGGAAAACAACTTCCATAAATTCTCATCAAAAACAGAAGGAAGCACACAATTTAACACATAAATTGCAATGCCTTTAAGCATAATACTACAGAATAGCTACAAAACTCAACATCAATCTCCATTACATTAACAGATGCATCAAAAAGGGAAGAACAAAATAGAAAAAAAATTACCTGGTACGAATCTAGGCCGTTGCAATGATGCCCCATATATGGAAGGGCTAAAATTCGATGCATTGTAGTAATAATTCAAAATCACGGCCTTTAGAAACCTATAATAGAGAGGCGAAACCTCCAGATCATCCTCAACAACAAAGGCAAACTCATGATCCGAGGAGGGCCACCACGCCTCGAGCCACTGAGCCTGGAGCCCAGCATTGGTAGTCCGATAATGCACCAACTTCTCGCCGAATTTCCAATCGAATCCATCGACAAAATCAACAATCTGCCTGGACACACTCAATTTCCCGTCCAATTCCGCAGAATCGTTCCGCGAATCCAGCGGGAAATGATCGATGTAGACGTGGAGATGGACTGCATCGCCGGCGTCGTAATTGGCTTTAGAGAGAGAATTGAGGCATCGGGAGAGAGAGGAGAGGCGGTTGAATGTGAGGAGTTTGACGATGAACGTGAAGTTAGGGCCTGGGGTTTGGGTTGCGATTTGGAGCTGTTGGGTTTGGATTCGAGCGCTGCGATTGGATGCGGTGAGAGAGAAGAGCCAGATACAGGTGAAGGAGACGAGAATGAAGAGTAGAAGTGGGAGGAGCTGCTTCGGTGGAGCCGGCGCCATAATTCTCTCCGCTACAGAGCTCTCATCTTTCCGGCGGAGTTTTATTGCTCCGTTTGTGTGTGTTTTTGTGTGTGTGTGTGTGTGTGAGAGAGAGGAGAGAGAGAGAGGTGGCAAGATCTGAATCCAGATCGGGGCAGCCCAACCCGACCCAATTGGGCTAATATGGGTCAAGGCTAAATTGGGCCGATTTTAGAATTCAAGCCTTTAAGTGAAATTATTGTATAATGTTGATTCTAATATATACCAAAAGTTATTTATCAAATATATATATTATAGATATATAATTAATTAAAGTTGAGATGAATAATGTAAGGCATTGTTTGATACTATGATTATACTCGTAGATGTAGAGAAATTAATGATTAATTAATTTATAAATTTGAAAATATATATATTATAACTGATTATGAGAACATTCAAACTTGTTGTTGCGCAGCGCACAGGCGAAAAAAAATATACAAGAACTCACACATAAATACAAAAGTGTTTATTTATTCAAATACTACAATAGTATCATAAAGTAATGTTTTATCAAATATTCCTCACAAGTATCTCTCGATTTTCTCTCTAATTTATCCGTACATGAATGCAACCTATGTAGCACGGACACGGAAACGGCGATACTGGAAAACAGGGAAACGGCATGTCTAAAAGATGGAGAAGTGGGATCTTGGCGGAAGCGTAATAATATTAAAAATATGTTACGTAAACATATATATATATATATATATATATATATATATATATATATATATATATATATATATATTTTTTTTTTTTTTGTGTATGTTTTTTATATATATTTTTGCAAGTTATCATTATATCATGAAATTAATCAGAGAATCAATTAAAGTATTTAAAAAAAATTGTTACTCAAACATGATTCTGAGTTTTAAGAATTTGTAAAATGACATATAATATGTTTGACAAGTGTCCTTGAGCGTTGGATACGAAATTATGTGCCAACAGTTGTTCTAGCCGAGTTAGATTCCAAACACAAATCATGGAAAAAACATCAAATTATCCTAGTTGAATGTAGGTATCCAATGCTTCTTGAATTTCCATGATGGAAAAACCCAAAATAAAATGGCCAATCAATCATATATATATAAAGCAAATTAAAAAAAATATGGGAAAAAAAAAAAAAAAAAAGATGGGACCATATATAATTAAGTTGAAAATTAAGCATAACAACTAACATAATCATAATTACTAATGAACACAGCTAATAGTTCCAAGTCTCAATTTCTCACCTGCTCTTGTCCTTTTTTCCTTAATTCTTTTCCTTTCTTTATTATTCCTCCAATCATCAATCAACCTAACCCTACCCCATATATATATACATATACATACAACTGTGTGTAATGTAATTTGCATCTCTCTCAACCTCCGCGGTTAAACTAATTATATTAACAGTTAATAGTACAAAAATTCAACTACTTTCTTCTGTTCCTCTTTATCATAAATGTAGCCAATTCAAGAACATGACATATGTTTTAATCTGACAAAATTAAAAATCTAATCTTGCTGATCTAAATCACACACACAGGTATGTATATATATATATATATATGTATGTGTACGCGGTGTCGCATATCATTAACACTGTGTCAGTGTGTGTGTGTTTTTATATGGGGGGTCTATTCTTTTCCAGACAAACATCTTTCTTATTTTTCTTTCTCTTTCTCTCTCTTCACATTCTCTGTTTCTGCTGCATTTGTAGTACGTATGCGCTTTCTCTCTCTACATTCAACCACTGTTTGCTGCTGCTGCTGTTGATCGATCCTCTGGTTTTAGTTTCACCCAATTTCTTACATCTGCATGATCTGTAAGTACAATCTTGTGTTAGTTTAGTGTTCTTTGCTGTTGCTTTTGTCCCAATTTCTCTCTCTCTCTCTCTCTCTCTCCGAATTTGAACTGTTTATCTTTAATTTTTTCAATTATTTGCTATATTTATTTCAAATATTTCGTGGGCTAGCACTAATTTTGATGTTACTACTGAAGTTCTTGGGATTCTGGGTTACCGTTAGTTCTTTAGGGGGCTTTGATTTGGTGGGGTGGGTGGGGTGGGGGGTTGTGTTGGATTGCTCGGTTTAGTATTTGTTTGTCTGATGAGGCTAATAACGGTAACTGCATTCTAGGAAATTACACAAAATATGACGAGGGTAGGCCGTGGTTTTAGCTACACATTGCAAAACGATGCAGTGTCTCCGGTTTCGGCCGATGTGGTTTTCGCCTCCGCTCGTTTTCCGAGATATAAAATCGGAGCGAACAATCACATTGTTGAAATAGAAGCGGACTCGATTATGTCGTCTATGAAACAAATGGTTGCTCGAGAAACTACTTTGTTGATGGAGCAACATCAACGCCTTTCGGTGCGCAATCTCGCTAGCAAATTCGAGAAGGGTTTGGCCGCCGCTTCAAGCTATCCGACGAGGTCTTTTTTTTTTCGCTTTTGAATTTTCGCTACAATGTTTTACTTCTCGGGTTTTTTCAGCATAAAATGCAGAAGTTTAGGTGGCAGATTGTGCTGTATATTTTCTTGATTAACTAAATAATCGGACTTTATCTGATGTTCGGTAAACCCAATAATTTTCCGGAAATATTTTCATCGTGGCCCTATCTGCCTTTAATATTATTGGATTTTCGTTAGATTTATTTGATCTTGTCTTGACTAATCTTATCTCGGGAACCAAACGAGGCCTTAAGTTGATTTGAGAAGAAGTGAAAATATTCAAGTGTTCGTTTGTATATGGATTTTCAGGCAAGACTTCGAGAGGCAGCTTCTTTGGAGAAACACGTGCTTTTGAAGAAAATACGGGATTCACTTGAAGCTCTGAGAGGCCGTGTAGGTGTACGAAACAAAGACGATGTGAAGGAAGCTATAACTATTGTGAGTATTTCATAAAACGCGTCAACAAAAATAAATAAATAAACGAGTAACGAGTGTTATCATACGTTCAGGTTGAAGCTTTAGCAGTTCAGTTAACTCAGAGGGAAGGCGAGCTAATTCAAGAAAAGGCCGAAGTGAAAAAGCTCGCGAATTTTCTAAAGCAGGTAAAACTTCAATTTTACGGTGTTCCCGTTTGGTCGATTTTTCGTACAGATTACAGTTGATGCTATTGGATAAAAGCTTATTGTATACAAGAACCCTCGTCGTAATTTTCTTGTAATATATTTTAGAAAAAAACTACATTATAACAGGCTTCGGAGGATGCTAAGAAGCTCGTTGATGAAGAAAGATCTTTTGCACGGGCAGAAATCGAGAATGCTAGAGAAGCAGTGCAGAGGGTGGAAGAGTCACTTCACGAACATGAACGAATATCGAAAGCTTCTGGAAAACAGGTCCTATTATAATTCTTGCTGTTCTTGTTTACCGTAAATAAATTTAATTACAACATTCTCTTTTTTATTGCATTATACATTATATTATATTACATATGATTCGGTCTTAATATGCGATATGTGGCCTTCCGTTTTCGTTAATCAGGACTTGGATGAATTAAGGAAGGAAGTGCAAGAAGCTCGACGAATCAAAATGCTGCATCAGCCTAGCAAGGTAGTTACTTATTTTTTTTATTTTTTATTTTTAATAAATCATTCGTCCTATTTCACATACCTCAAATCGATTCTAAACGATTTTTTCATTACTATTATTATTTTTATTTTGCAGGTCATGGACATGGAACACGAGCTTTATGCATTAAGGATTCAACTTGCAGAAAAGTCCAAGCATTCACTGAAGCTCCAGAAAGAGGTTTCGTTCTTGTTCTTCATCTATGCTATTTAGATTCATTTTTTTTTTTTTTTTTTTGAATTAAATTTGAAATTTCGAAGATATCAAAAAGCTTCATCCCATGCGTATATTTTTTTCCAGCTGGCAATAACTAAAAATGTCGATCAAAATACGACACGTTTGTATGAAATAGATGGCACCGAGGCATTGGGTTCGTATCTTCGGATATTTCCATGCTCCGATATTGCTCCAGATCTTTCCGAATGCGCAATTCAATGGTACCGTGCAATTTCCGAGAGTGACGAGAAAGAGCTTATATCAGGTACATATAACATATCTCTTCAAATTCTTGATATAGTTATAAAAAATGAATCATTTTTTTAATTATGTGTTTTAACATTTAATCGGCTGTGAACTGTGTGTGTGTGTGTGTGTTTCAGGGGCCACCAAATCTGCGTATGCTCCCGAGCCGTGTGATGTTGGACGAATATTGAAAGCCGAAATTATGACTGATGATTGGACTATAACTGTAGCAACCTCTGCTCCTATCGATCCAGGTTCGGTAGATTTTTTTCGATTTTTTAAGATATTTATTTTTCAAAATTTTAAAATTCTGAAACTCGATTACCGGATTGTTTTTTCTTCCTGTATAGCTCCGGGACTGGGAAACTATGTAGAAGCATTGGTGCGAAGGCATGACACCGAATTCACTGTATGTTATTTTTCTTGTTAAATATATAGTATTTAATAACAGTTTCTTCTGTTTTTTGAAAATCGGACGGATCGGATCAGAATTGGCACTTCCGGAAAAAAATTCCATTTTTTTTTGGAAGTGAAAAACTAATTCCGATTCGGTTCCCAAAAAAATCGAAATGTCGAAAAAGAATGTTCCACGATCTGAATTTTTTGGATCGGAATCGGCAGACTTCGTAAATTCCAACTTTTTGGGCACCTATAACAAAAAATATGTAATTATCGGAAATATTTTGGGGCTATCGGAAGTTGGAATCTAATATGTATTTCATTCCTGTTCCAAAAAAGAAAAACGGAAAAATCAAAAATTGGAACTCTCGGAATTCGGAATGAAAAATGTTTTTTTTTTTACAAAATTGGAAAATTTCGTTCCAATTTCCAAAAACATGCCTTGCATTGCAGGTTATCCTTATTCAAATGAACGGTGTAGATCATCCGTCCCCGTCAATCCACATATTACATATAGGAAAGATGAGAATGAAGCTACGCAAAGGGCAAACGACATTGACGAAGGAATACTACTCCAATTCAATGCAGGTACTAATCGAGACTCAAGCAAATTCTTTTTTTTTTTTTTTTTTTTTTCTTAAGACGAGTTTCTATCGATATTTCCTAAAAAAGAAAATTTACCTCATTAATATATTTTTACGATAAATCAGATATGTGGAATTAGAGGGGGCGGAAATGCTGCGCCTCAGGCAGTGTATTGGCAAGCAAAGATAGGGCAGTCTTTTATATTTGCGTTCGAATCGGAACGAGAAAGAAACGCAGCTATTATGCTGGCAAGACGATTTGCATTCGACTGCAATGTAAGCATCAAATTAAATCTTGAAAGGGTGGAGTAAAGTTTGAATTTTTATTTTTCTTTAATTAAAAAAAAATTAACATGAACATCGATAATAACCGAAAATGCTCGTTTTTTTTTTCAGATTATGCTTTCCGGGCCAGATGACAAGCCCTCAACATGAACACATCCAAATGTCTTAGAAAATGTATTGTAGAGTAAGCTTTTCTTTTTTCTTTTTCTTTTCTAAATCAGTGAATATGAAGTTCTAGGCATTTTTCAGTTGCATTATCTTATTATTATTAATTTTATTTTATTATTATTTTTTTATTTTTTGTATTTTCTTGATTTGTTTCCTTTGACTGGTCTGACTATGGCAAGAAGTCTTGGCAATTGTATCTGAAATTCTGAATCCTATTTGTACTGTATTATAATCAAAGATAATCTGAGACTCTGAGTACTGCAATTAAATAACAAAATTATTTATAATATATTTTTTTTTTTTTTTGTGGAAAATCAATTATTTATGGATAAGCTTTTCAGATTATACAGTTCTAATGTAGGATTAAGGATTTAAAATTGATTGTATATTTTCTCAGGTCCAAATCTTTCAAAGTGAACCCATACGGATTTCAAGAAAATTATTACTTAGCAAAATAATAATAATAATAATAATATATGACGTCAGCATACCATATTATTACACCATCATTTTGAAAAGTAAAAGTAAAGTTGAACGCATAGTATAGGAAAATGACTTTTGGTTATATCTTAGGTAACGTCTTAAGTCACTACTTTGAATTCAAAGATTGAAATATGTCACCACTAAACATATATTTACATTTTTTTCTGAAAAATGTTATTAACTTTTGTAGGATGTAATTATATTAAACATGCATACAAATTCAAAAATCTGTAGTAAATAATAAGAATTAAAAAAATAGGTTGTTTGGTCCCAAAATATAATCAGTCAAAGATAAAATTATATAATTAATTAGTTAGGGCTCGTTCGGTTACTGCTATAAGGTTCTACTGACTAAATAGTAGGGGCTAATAACATGTCTAGTTGGTAAGATTCACACTTCTTCAAACCCGCTACTAAATTCAAAGCCCGCTATTAAATGTTACTATTTCATTAAATTAGTAGCACCCCTCCCCCTGAGATTAATTTAATAGGGGGTGACTAAAAAGAAAAAATACAATTTTATCCTTAAAATTATATTTTATTATTGTAAACTAAGTGGTTTTATAGACAATTCATATATAATAACTGATTTTAACAAATTTAATAGAAAGTCTAATCTAACAAACCGAACATGCTACTAACTACAAAATTAATTAGTCAGTAGGGAGTTAATCCAATCTCATGTAATCCAATTTAATCCAATATAGGTAACCGAACGAGCCCTTAGTCAATTGTAATTCTTCTCATCTATTAAAAGAAGAATTTTGATGAATGGACAATGGGGTAGAAAATGCAAATATACAATTTTTTTTTTTTTGCATTAAATAAAAGCTCGTTTACTAATTTAGTCCACCCATTTTATTTCATTTAATCCACCTAATTATAAACAATTTTTAACAACTTCGAGAGGGTGAATTGTAATTTACAAGTAGTTTACATAATTTTTAAAAGTTGAGATTAACTTTAAAATGTTCAATTCATATTATTTTCATTAGATATCGCAAAATATTTACTTTTTCTTTTTTATTTTATATTGACTTTTTGGGGCGAATACAGTTTTCGTTCCTTAAATTTGCATCGATTTCACATTTCGTCCACCATATTAAAAAAAAAAAAAACACATTTAATCCCTTATGTTTCGATAATTCAACTCTTTTGATTATTTCCGTCAATTTACCGTTAGTCCGTCAGTTAACATAGTGATGTACATATGCTTAATTTTGTTAGGTACATAAAATGACCAAAAATGTAGAATGTTTTTAAACATAAAAGGACCATTATTTTTTTTTGTGAAGATAGATGACCAAATATGAAATTTGTGCAAACTTGAGGGGCAACAACAGTAATTTTCCAGACTTTTCCACTCATTTTTTTTTTCTGTTCTTTATTCTTAGACTTTTCCACTCAATAATACGAACTATATTTTTAATTATAGTAAAGTCCAAATCCAAAAATACTGCACAAGTTGCAATTATTGAAGCACGAGTGCTTCATTTCTTGACTGGAAACTTCGAACGATGGACCGGCCATTGTTTTTTTTGTTTGCTTGCTTCCTTCCTTTCTTTCAGTTCTAACAATTAATGGGTTTCTCTCAATTCTCAAACTTCCCTTCTTCTTCTTCTTCGTTTTGCTGTACCCACCTTCGATTTGTGGTTCATCTGCTAGAAAAAGGGGTTTTCTTTAGACATGGGTATTTGCTTAGGAACCCCTGCTAACACTGATGATCGTCATTCTACAGGTTTTGGTATGATCTCTCTCTCTCTCTCTCTCTCTCTCTCTCTCTCTCTCTCTCTCTCTCTCTCTCTCTCTCTCTCTCTCTCTCTCTCTCTCTCTCTCTCTCTCTCTCTCTCTGTGTGTGTGTGTTTGTGTGTGTGTGTGTTTCATATCTGCTTTGAATTTGAGTACCACTGTATTTAACAATCATTTAATTTCCTAGCTTTATTTGAAGTGACCAGTTCTTGAATTATGACCAATAAGCTAATTCATAAGACAATGAAGTAGTTGCCAAATTTCAGTTTAAGACTTGATAAATGCACTTTCCCTAATTATTAATTCTTGAAAAAAAAAATCAATTTTAATTCATCATCCATCCAGGAGCAAAAGTAGCACCCGGCAATCAAGTTCCGAACCCACAGACGCATTCGTCGGTTTCGTGCGACGCCCTCAAAAGATCGCTAAGCGATTTATCCTTCTCGAGCAACCTCAAATCGTTCACCTCGAACGATCTCAAGAACGCCACCAAGTCCTTCTCCGCAGACAGCCTAATCGGAGAAGGAGGTTTCGGTTACGTCTTTAAAGGATGGATTAACGAGACCACTTTGGCTCCTAGCAAACCGGGAACCGGTACAGTTGTCGCCGTTAAAAAACTCAAGCCACAAAGCTTTCAAGGCCACAGAGAATGGCTCGTACGTTTTTTTTCTTACCGTCGACATTTGAACCTTAATTCGCTTCGTATAACGATTCAGCTTTTTTTTTGTCTTTGTCGAATTTTGCAGAATGAGGTTAAATGCTTAGGGCAGCTTCAACACGAGAACTTGGTTAAGCTGATCGGATATTGTTCGGAATCTAAAAACAGAATGCTTGTTTACGAATTCATGCCTAAAGGAAGCTTGGAGAATCACTTGTTCAAGAGTACGTTTTTTTGTAAGATCGAAATATCGAAAATGGTGTGGAAATAGGAATTTGATTTGCGTTCGTCTGTACAGGAGGAGTACAGCCGATGGCGTGGTGTACGAGAATGCAGATAGCGATTGATATTGCGAGAGGATTGACGTTCTTGCATAGTTTAAATGCCAACATAATTTACCGCGATTTAAAGGCTTCCAATATTCTAATTGATTCGGTACGTTTAAAAAAAAAAAAAATGAATATTGTGTGTCATTAGTGAGTTTGATTCGTGTAGTTAGTGACATTCTTGAATCGCTGCAGAAGTTTCGTGCGAAGCTTTCGGATTTCGGGCTTGCAAGAAAGGGCCCGAGCGGAGATGGAACTCATGTCTCGACTAGAGTTGTCGGTACAATGGGTTATGCTGCTCCAGAATACGTGGCTTCAGGTTTCTTGTTTGCTCGTTTTCTCTTGCATGGAAATCAACTTTAGTTATTAATTCAATTTTAATAGTTGGGTGTCGGAACGAGTGGCGGAGTTAGGGTTTTGTTTTTGCGCGGGTCAAATATGCACTAAAAAGTTCTCTACGGAGGCCAAGAATTCTACACTAATCGAAAATTGAAATGCTAAATGTCGTTTCAATTTTACCAGTACCGTATTTTCATATTTTCAACATTATGCATAACTTTCTCATCCAACCACCAATTTACGTGATTCAAGTTGGTTTAGAAAGTCGATTCAAAGGGCTAACACTTCGATGTTTTGAGGTTTCCCAAATTCAGATTGTAGGATGGTCAAAATCATGTTTGAACGTAGAGTTATTGTTGGTTAGGGTAGTGATCATTCATTCATACATAACTTTCTTACCGGACATCCATCCTGGCTGATTCAAGTTGGATTACAAAGCCGACTCAAAATACGACATATTTAGTATTTCGAGCTTTGCCAGGTTCGGACCAAAAAAAGGGTCAAAATCACATTTGAAGTCGGATCTGTACTAGTAAAATTTAAACGACGTTTAACACTACCCAATTGAGCAACAACGTATTCGTGTCTAAAATCCTAGCTGTTTTAGAAGCAGTGGGGGCCATTGCCCCCATACCCCTCCTATGTCGGTCCCGCCACTACTGCAAACAAGAATTTCACCGGCAAAAAAAAGTATTAAAAAATTAATACCTACATAATTTGGACTTAATTCATTTTGCGAATACAGGGCATTTGACTGCAAAGAGCGACGTGTACAGCTTCGGAGTGGTGCTGTTGGAGCTGATATCCGGAAAAAGAGCGATGGGCGACGAGACGATCGGCGGTGCAGAAGGCACATTGGTCGATTGGGCAAAGCAATATTTAGGAGACGGAAGGCAAGTTTCTAGAATCATGGACACGAAGTTGAGGGGCGAATACCCGAAGAGGGGGGCCCAGGCCTCCTCTTCTCTTGCTTTGAGGTGCCTCTTTAACGATCCCAAAAACAGACCGTCTATGGTTGAGGTTCTTGCTGACCTGGAGCAACAGCTGGCGCTTCAAACTTCTCCGCAAGCCAAGCTGGAGCATCGTATCAAAACATTGTCCTCTCACAGATGAATTGAGTCGAGCAGGCTTGTTTGAATCTTTATCGAGCTTTAGAAATTGTTAGCTGGCAGAGAGCTGAATCGAGCTCGAGTAACTTGATTCTGTATGTACATATTTGATTGTTTTTTGTTCTGATTGAGCTCGAGTCGAACTTAGTATATTTATAGAATAAAAATACATGTTAAAGCTTGGTTCGTTGTCTTAGTGAATCGAGCCCGCATAAGCCTTTGAAGGTCGATTTGTAATCGAGTAACGTAGTTCAAATTTGGTAAATATAGTATTCTTGATGTTTGGGGTGAATGTACGAATTCGGTTACGAGCTTCGAAGATGTTGGTAATGACAAAATTCGTGATTAAAAAGGTTGAGTTTATTGCATTTGGTAGACGTGTTCATCAAATTGTTAAAAAAACTCTCCATGTTATAAATACTACCAAAAACAACCCCGTAAATGGTAGGGACTGTTTGCTAATATTTATAACAAGGGCAAATTACGGACACCCTCTTAGGTATGACCAAATTACGAAAAAACCCTCTTGTTTGTTCAATTACATCCACCCCTCTCCTTTTAAATATGTTTACATAAATTTTATGTAATTCAATTATTCACCGAACCAAATCGTATATTCCGTTTGGTGAACGGTATGAAATGTTGGCATACCGAAATTTCTGTTCGGTTTTACCAATTTAACATCCCTAAATTTACCTCAAGAAGGGTATTTTTGTAAGATAATACATAGTTGAGGGGATGGTTGTAATTACCCAAACATGAAGAGGGTTTTCGTAATTTGACCATAAGTCAGGGGTGGCCGTACTTTGCCCTTATAACAAAATGAGTTTTTTAGCAATTAGAATAAACACAGGGTGCTAAATGCAATAAAACATAAAAAGGTCACAACTGAAACTTGCAATAACTGTTGAAAATTCAACTAACGATTATCCGACAACCGAAACCGAAACCGAATCTAGTACGAAAATTCATGCTTTACAATGAAGATTGCATTTGCCTGAGAATAATACAGAGAAGATTCCCCAAAAACACACACACACACACCCCTCACTAAGAACACTGATCTACGCTCTCGAAATTTCTTACCAAGAAACGAACCGGGGAAACCAATTCGAACCCAACATTTTTCCCTCCTGGCGAAAAAAGGTCCCACGAGAGAAAGCAAAAAACAAACAAACCAAATAATGGAAAAAATCGAGCAATTTTTTTTACACATTCGTCGAGCCGACAAAAAAGAAAAAAAAAAAAAAAAAAAAAAACTCATACTAAATAATGCTCTCGTTCACAGAGTCGTCTCTACTTCATTTGTTTGCATGTCGTCTTCCGTTTTCCACACTACATCCTCGAGGCAGGTCGAAAGGTTTTTATAGAACTGCATCCGTAAAATCACCACAAAACAGAATATTCTTTTTTAGCCGATACTCTCGAAAAAAAATTCGATAAACCATTACAAATTAAATTATTTTCGGAAGAATCATGTTTGTACCTTGTGGAACTCCAAAGTATCTCCCTTTGATTTTCTAACCTCGACAATATGCATCGAAGGCGCAACTTGAAAAACCTGATTTAACCACATAATACGCCTTAGCAAAAATACGAAAAATGAAGATATGATCAAAATACTTTGGCCAAATGACGGCCAACCCCCCGAGGTAAGATTAAATTACGAAAAAACCCCTTTTATTTGGTTAATTACAACCACCTCCTCAAATATGTATTGTTTTACCTTTAATAGGTAAATTTTACACCGTAAGGGTGGACGAGTAAGACAATACATAGTTGAGGGGTGGTTGTAATTACCAAAAAGTGAGGGGTTTTTTCGTAATTTAATCTTACCTCAGGGGGTGACCGTAATTTCCCAAAATACTTTGTATAATAATTAACCAACCTCAGTGGAAACATTAAGATTGCCTTTTCTTCCAGCTTTCGAGTTTTCAAGCCTCATCTGAAAAAAATATATATATATATAGAAACAAATTAAAAATTACCAAAATAAACGGCATTTTAAAGGGCTTCTTTTATTTATATAGAAAACTCACTAATTTAATTACCTTGTAATTCTTCTTGTGAACATCGAAACCGAGTGGTTTTACAGCTTGTTCGATCTTATTGATTATCTCGTTAGCTGGGCATCTTGATGTGAACCTCGTTTCCTTCTTGTACCCCTGTTAGAATAAGGCATACGTTTATTTGTTGTCGGAATTCGAGTGTTCACATTGTAATAAACTGTTTAATATAACGAAAAAAATCGAGTACATAAATACCTGTTCTACACCAAATAAATTCTCGAGATTGAGACCTTTCGACATGGAAATTAACTCAAATGCGTTCATCGGAGCTGGCTTCGTCTCTTCCCTTTTCTCCGTCACCAGATACTCCTGTTGTCGATATTTTTTATGAGAAATATTTTCATTTTCCCAAAAAAAAAAAAAAAAAAAAAAAAAATAGCAGTTAATTAGTTGGTCCGTGATGCTCGATAAATGTTACCTTAGAATCCTTAAACACGGCTTCCACATCGTCCAAATTTGTGTCTTCTTTCTCGTCAAATACCGGCGGTTTGTAGCCTTTCTTGAACCACTCGTCCACCAGTATTTCAGCTATCGTGATCCGCTGGATAAACGCAAAATGTCGGAAAAGTTAGAATCGGATAAATTTAATAGAGCAATTTGAACACTAATTAAATTAAATAGTTTATTACTTTGAGAGGATTTGGTTCGAGTATTCGAGCAATCAACTTCATCGCTCCGAACGAAAGCCACGGAGGACAAGTGAATTCAGCAGCAGATATCTGCACATCGAACACGAGAAATAGGTGAAATTTTATAAATTAAAAAAAATAATTTTGAAAAAAAAAAATAAAAAAAAATCAAACACCTTAATTGCCAAAAATTACGCACCTTTTTATATAGATTCATAACATTCGAATCGTCAAAAGGCAAGTAGCCGGCAAGCAATACGAAGAGTATCACTCCACACGACCACAAATCTGCAGTAGCTCCATCGTAGCCTCGATCGTTCAGAACCTGCGGCATTTTTTAAATAATAAATAACATATATTTATTAAAAAAAATTGCATATTTAAATTAATAACATACCTCGGGAGCAACATAATTCGGAGTTCCACATGCAGTATGCAACAGACCATCGTCCTGCCAAATTAATATTCATAATTAATTCCATAATCATAAGTAAACGAACGTATACCAAATTTTACGGTTCCGACAATATATTACCCTGACTTGTTGGGAAAGAGCACTTAATCCAAAATCGGAAACTTTGAGGTTTCCAGAAGCATCCAATAGTAAGTTCTCCGGCTGCACCGGTAAAAAAAACATAGTAAGATAACGAAATCTTTGACGGAATATTCCAAAAAGGTATATTAAATAAATATACCTTTAGATCTCGGTGAAAGACTCCTCTGCTATGACAATAATCAACAGCATGAATAAGCTGCTGAAAATATTTTCTCGCTTCGTCTTCTTTCATCCTTCCGTTATTTACCTTCACATTTGCAGATCCAGATTCTTTTTCAGACAGATGATTTTTTTTTTACATGTCTATAAACTTTATACATGCTTTCGTAAGATACCGAAAAAATGTCAATGTTTTTGCAAGATAAAAAAAAGAGAATTCGGTCTTACGATTTTATCGAAGAGCTCTCCACCAGTGACGAATTCCAAGACGATAAATATCTTGGTCTTACTTGCCATGACCTGAAATTAACATCGGAAAAAAAAAAGAAAACAGTAAGAATTTAATGAATGGATATATTCCCTGAATTGCTAATAGCTTGAAAGATTGAATCTTTGGTACCTCGTACAATTGAACGACAGTCGGATGTTTTATTAGTTTCATTGTAGCTATTTCCCGCCGAATCTGCAAAATCCGTAACCATAACCGCCGGACAAGAAAGTTAGTTGACCATGCAAAGAAAGCATTAATACTAAATATCCATCTTTGTCAACATAAGTTGATCGATTCAAATTTATTTAAGAAAAAAGAAAAAAAGAAAAAAAAGATTAACCTGGTCAGCCATTTTGTGCTTAAGGACCTTATCCTTGTCGAGAATTTTGAGGGCTATATATATATATATATATATATATATATATATATATATATATATATAATATATATATACCTGTGGGAATTAAACAGTAACCGTGCAAGAAACCAAGAAAAATATGAATTCTTAAAGAGCAAGTGGAAGGATAAGAGAGAGAGAGAGAGAGAGAGAGAGAGAGGATATGGTTGAATAAACAGTATAAAGATTGAATCTTTTTAATGATTGATGATCGATTAGAGCTTAACAGAGCAAAAGCGGCTCTTGGAGTGTGAATGGGTCAACAAAAAATCTTCAAGATTTTCTGATTGCTAAAAAAAAATTAAAATGGCCCTAGAATGCAAAAGGGCGTTAAAAACCAGCAAGCAGAAAAAAGTTTTTCTTTTTTTTCAAGAATCACCCCTTCTCCCACTGCTTCAGCTTTCAGACCGTTAAATAAATGAAAAAAAATTGATGTCGGGGTTAATTTAGTGGAAGGTTCCAGGAAATTGTGGTGATGGGAGTAGTTGTTGGAATTACATATGAGGACAACTGATATGGAAACAGAGAGCAGATGCAAATTCCATTTCCCAAGAAAAAAAAGCAGTAAATGCACAGTGGTCGTACGTAAGTTTTATGACAACAACAACCGCACTTATCTCCATTTTTTTTTTATTATTTATTGATTGATAAGTATCTGCATTTATTTGATTGAAGGGCGTGTTTGGTCGTTTCAAATTATATGACATTATTTAGGATATATATATATATTGTTTTATTTTTGTTTAATTAAAGGGGTTATTTTACATACCCATAGCCACCAAATAAACTATGAATAAACTCAAGCTCAAATTATCCTTTGACATACTCCTGGAGAAGCAAAAGTACTATACTATCCTTATATGCAATTTTCGGCCAAACTCCATCAGCATATATGGTCCTGCATTTATCATTTTCGCTGATTTATTTATTATTATTATTTTTTATTTTTTTTTATAAACCTGTTTGTTATATATATATATATATATATATATATATATATATATATATATATATATATATATATTTAATTTTTTAATTTTTTTTTAAATTAAAAAAAAAATTATTATTTTTTTAATTTTTTTTTTTTTAATTTTCAAAACAATATGTTTATAGTACTGAAAATAACTACATGTAACTATAGTACCTATAGTAATTCATAGTTATGTTCGTTTTTTTTCCCCATGTTTTTAGTCGATCAATTGTATACACACACGAATACTGACTTATACAAAATAAATTCATAAAACCCCAACAAAAATTTACAAATTTCAATATTTTTATTATAAATCACATCAGAACCAATAAAATACAAATCGAAAATACACAAATATACGCATATGTAACTACATGTTACTATAGTAATGTATACAGTCTGTTGAACAAATCAGATGTAACTTCAAAAAAAAAATTTGACACCTCCAAGGAAAGGATCAATGGCCTTCATTAAGCTGCAATTGCAAAATCAAAACAAAAAGAAATTACTTTAGTTCAAATCAACAAAATTTGAAGAAAAACATCAAAACACTCAAAAATCAACAAACACTAAGAGATCGAGAGATAGAGAGAGAGGTTATTGTTGGGAAATGCTACAGATTTTAAATCAAACAAACAGTGACTCCTCACCCCCCCTCCTACCAAAACCCTAGACGCCGCTAATAACCACCCACGGTTCCGCGCGCCCACAAATGCAAAAAAATATAGAAATAAATCTGAAAATATAAAAATAAACGAAATTACCATCAAAATATAGATCCCGACGAGAGGAATCCAACGGTGGGTGACCCGTCAAATTTCGACGGGTGGAACACAAAATAAAGCTCCGGCAAGACCACCGTCCTCGAATGAAAAAAAATTGCAGAACCAGATCAGCGCTCGAAACTGAATGAAATCACCACCAAAAGAAAGAGTTCGACGAGAGGAATCCAACGGTAGTTAAACCATCGAATTCCGACCACCGGAGATAGAGTTATGGCTCCGGGAAGCAATTTCGCCGGTGGGAGGTTTGTGGATGCGGGATTTTGAATCTGGGAGAAGAAGAGAGAGACTGTGAGTGGCTAGAGTTTAAAACTGATTTTAGAAGGGTATTATAGGAACTTCAGAGTAGCCCAGGGAGGTATGTCAAAATAATTTCGAAATGAGGGGGGTTTCCCCTAGAGTGTAATATACTTGGTAGTTAGTTCTATATAATTTTGAAATTAGAGGGGTCTACAAAATAATCCCATAATTAAATTATTCAATAAGACTCAATAAATCTCAGATAAATTAATAAACATGGCTAAATAATATTTTTTTTCTCGGTTCCGACTCGGGGACAACGTGCTAAAAGTTAATAATTTGCTAAATTTATAAGATGATAAACGTTCGAAAAATTTAGGAAGGCCCGTATAATATATAAATTAATATTACATAAAAATAATTCTTAAATTACATATTTGAATATATATTTTATAGATGTATGATAGCTTAATAAAATATAATTTAATTGGTTAGAATTTCTGGTATAGTTTTCTTAGAGTAAACTGCAAAAAGTACCCCTGTGTAATCTCCAAATAGCAAAAACCCCCTTGTGATAAATAAACTAGCAATAACCCCCCTGTGAAATTTAGTTAAAGGCAACCCCCGGTTGACTTAAGTGTGGTTCACTCGCGGGTTGCGCGACTGGTAGTAGATTTTTGGACGTGAAATGACGAAATTATCCCTAAAAATGTATTTATATGTATATGTATTATATGTATATATATTTTTCTTTTAATTTGATTGTTTAGAAATTAAAATATTGTCAAAAAATAGTAAGTAATTAAATTTAAAAAGTATTAAAAAATTGTTAATCAAATTAAGTATAGATTTTTTTAAATATATAATAACGGAATTTAAATTTTCTTTTGATGTAGCGATAATTTAAAATATATACAAAAACTATGAGATAATAAAAACAAAAATAAATTAAAGACCCCATTGTACCTTTATAATTAAGATATAACAAAAATAAAAATAATTAAAATATTTAAAAAATATAAGAATTTATTAATTGCAATATTTGTATCTTTTTATATGAAGTCAACACTCAAATGATAAATGGGCCGAGTGTGCTATTTAAATAATTTCACAGGGGAGTTTTTGCTAGTTTATTTATCATAGGGGGGTTTTCGCTATTTAGAGATTACACAGGGGTACTTTTTGCAGTTTATTCGTTTTCTTATAACTCAACAGAAAATTGTTCAATAGCATTGCTGCTTTAAGAGCTTCTGTTTGAAAAACGAGTTGTACATTGAACTAATAGTACTATGAATAATATATACGTAATTTTTTTTTTTTTAAAATGTATTAATTAAAAAATTAATAAGTTATTAAGTAATGTATAAACTAATAATTATTAGTTTATCGATCAGTTAACATTTCATTAAATTAATAGGATTTTGATGGTTCCAATTGTATGAATTTGAGGTTTAATTGTACATTAAATGAAGTGATACAAAAATAGCGTTAAAAAAATGTGGACTAACAAGTGTAAAAGTGGAAAATTATATGTAATTAGTGTTATATTTAAATTTTGTTCTCATAAGTCATATCTCAAATGGATTCTGCATATAGCCTCCAAAAATGGGCAAATTTTGTTAAATGAACTTTGCCCTTTATAATATAAAGATACTATTTTAAAAAATACTAGTACTTCACCCGTGCGTTGCATGGGGGTCAGTTTTGAAATGAGAAAAAATAATAATATGGAAACGATTATCTCTTTATAACGTCACGAATTCAAGTAAAACAAAATATAAGTAAATAAAAAAAATATAAACTTTATCTCTTAATTCAGAGTTGTGACATATGAAATTCAATTAAATATTACAAAGAAAAAAACGCGAAGCGCGCAAAACACGATATGAAGATTAAGTGAAATCATTTAAAACATATGGTATAACTCTATTTCATGGAATGCAAACTACTACACCATGTCAATCTTCTGCAAAGTAATTAACTTAACAACAAATACGGTAGCAGATAAGTAACACAATAGATATTCAAATAACCTGCAAGTTTATCACTAACGGCATTCAATTAGTGATGTATATTACTCAAACAACAATACAACTTATAAATATTGCAAAAGAGATAAGATGTATACGCCATTATTGATACCAATGCTAATACCAATACCAATACAGATACAAATAATGATACCAATATTGATACTAATATCGATATTAATACTGATACTAATATCGATACTAATACTAATACTGATACTAATATCGATAATAATACTAATACTAATACTAATACTAATACTGATATTAATACTAATACTAATACTAATATCAATACTAATACTAATTCTATTACTAATCGTAATCCTACAAATGCTAATACTATTACTAATTGCAATCGTACATATACCAATACTAATACTGATACTAATACTAATATTAATATTAATACTAATAATAATACTAATACTAATACTAGTATTGTCATTTTTGAAATATATAAAATAAATATTTTTTTATCAATTGATTAAACTTAACTTATGTTCTTCAATTTATTGGTATAATCATGGGAAATTTTGTATTTTTTAAAATATATTAGAATAATAATTTTTAAAATAAATTTCTTATGAATTAAATTCCAAATTTTTGTGAGAAAAATGAATCGAACCCCCACCAATATCATTAAATATTAATTAATCTATTTTAAGTTTTACCGTCTATTTGGGTCGCACCAAACACAGCCTATGTCAAGCTGTCTGTTGTCCGTACTTGAAGCTTTTGAGTGGTGTACGATATTTCTCTCTCTTAATCATTTTCATATTTTCATAAATAGCCGCTAAAATAAGGTGAGAAGAAACTTTTACCAAAATCATGAATCACATGTCAACCAAGCTTAATATATCTAATAAAAGAATAAAATAAAGATCAAGCTTTACTGCTTTAATATATATGGCACATTGCACCAAGTTCAGAACAAAATATTTTAGACGATAGAGATTAGATGGAATTTTTTTTTCTTTTTTTTTTTATTTTTTTTATTTTAGGGTAAATTATGAAAATTCCCTATATTTAGGTTAAATTATAAAAATGCATTCACCTATTTGCAATTACCAAAATCCTCCTAATACTAGTTTATGTCTTACACCAACCCTTTTATGGTGTAATTTTTCATGAAGTCTTTTTTCCTTGAGGGAATGTTCCTAAGAAAATGGCGATTATACCCCTAAAAACATTCTTTTAAATATAGTTGACCTTGATAAACCATCTTCATCAACATCACATTGCAGTATTACTAAGCTTTCTAAATTGCACAACTACCTTCAGTTTGTTCCACGTTATAGGGGTAAAATCGTCATTTTCAGGGAATATTCTCTGGTATCAAAAGATTTCGTAAAATCCACACCATAAGGGGGTTCGTGTAACACTGAAACAAACGTCACGAGGATTTTAGTAATTATGGATATGTGAGAGTGTTTTTGTAATTTTATTATTAAAAATCTTTTTCTTTTTCCTTTTTTTCTTTGGAGACAAATGTTGTTCGTTATAGAAATTAGAAATTCGTCGTGTATTTACAAAGACCTTATTGCTAAGTGGGCTAATAAAGTTAGGCTACGTTTGGTTTTAAGCATTGTTAAGGATTAAAAAAAGCCCAAAATAAAGCCCATATAGGTTCCTCAAAGCCCATATCAAAGGAAATTCCCTCCTCTGTCAAAACACTCTCTCCCCCCTTCACCAGAACTCCCTTTATATTTTCTCTCTCTAGACGAAGCCTTGAATTTGAAGGAATTTCAAAAATTCGCGATGGGTTCCGGTAAATTACCGCCATGTATCTCTACAAATAATGCTTCCGTTGATCCCCTTTTTAGTTCAATCATGCGTTTTTCACTTGTTTTTTTCTCGAATAATGTGCTTAATTTTGACCGTACAATGCCGCTGCAGATGCTGATATGGAGGATTACGGGTTTGAGTATTCCGACGAGGAGCCAGAAGAACAGGATGTTGATATTGAGAATCAGTATTACAACTCTAAAGGTACGATTTATTCATCTTATTTGTTCTGTATTTACTATGTGATTTAATTTCTCTGTATATTTGGGGGTTTTTTGTATATGACAAGTTTGCTTGTATTGTGGGTGGGTATGTGTGTGTTTATGTGTACGAAATTAGTATTAGGTGAGTTGTGCTGTGAGGGTGGAGAGATTTATGGCTCTTTTTTCTGCACTTGCTTTTGGGCGCTGTATGAATTTTCATGTATATATATGCTATTTCACTGTAGGCTTGGTTGAATCCGACCCGGAAGCTGCACTTGAGGGTTTCGCAGAAGTTGTGAATATGGAACCTGAAAAGGCCGAATGGTGATTCCTTGTCGATTTTTTTTTTCCGTCGTTTTTGTATCTTGATTGGCAATGGTTTAGGGGTTAGTATAAGAAGTTATGGAGACGAAAAACGTCGAAATATTTTTATTTTTTGCTTGTTTTCCTTGCAAACCCATGGTTAGGAGAAGTGTGTTCATGATTATATATATATATATATACACACACACACACACACACGATGTGTGATGATGCAATAAAAAAATTTCTCATTATATGGCCTGTTCGAAATCGTTGATCTCGTAGGTTGAAGACTAATTTGTAGGTTCATCAATGAAAAGCTAGAAAAATTGTTACTGATTGTTTAGTGGAATTCGATATCTAGAGATTTTCCCTTTCCTTGGTGATGCTTCATTTGTTTACTTGTATCTTCGTTTCATTTCTCCATTATTTGAATGATTGTATCTAACTAAATGGGATTTAATTATCTGACTTATTAAGCAGTCAGCTCCTAGTTATGTGTTCATGCCCAGTCGCTATGAGGTCATAGCCCTCAAGTGAAGCTAATAACTCATGTGCTTTTTTCATGCCTGGATGAGAATTGTGTATCTAAATATCCGTACTTACAGTTCCATTCTAAATTTAGCTGTTGTATGGGGCTAGGTGTACCAGTGCTCCTGATTTGTTCCTAGACTTGTTTAAATGACCTGCAATGCGTTTTGCAAAGCATTTTTTAGATGTAGCTTCTTCCAATTGGGTGCGGGTTGCACTGTTCTCTGGATTTATTGCAAATAAAATTTCTTATCTCGTAATTTTACAAAGTTACAGCTCGTTGTAGTTATTCTTTATAGAGATGATAACTGTGTTAGATCTAAGGGGATTACATGTTATCTTGTTATAATGAATTGCAGGCTGAAATCATTTGAAAGCTTACTGTAATTGTCAATATGTTGACTTGTGTTGTGGCTTCGTACGTCTTGAATGAGTACCTGTCCCTTGACTCCGTGCATGTTTCTTGTTTGTCTCCAGGGGATTTAAAGCTTTGAAGCAAACTGTTAAGCTTTATTATAAGCTTGGGAAGTACAAAGAAATGATGGATGCGTACAGGGATATGTTGACTTATATTAAATCTGCAGTGACTCGAAATTACAGTGAGAAATGCATAAACAACATCATGGATTTTATTTCTGGATCTGCTGGTCAAAACTTTAGTCTGCTGCAAGAGTTTTATCAAACAACCTTAAAAGCCCTTGAAGAGGCGAAGAATGAGGTAAAAAAATATCATTTTATTTGAATCTAGTGACTTTTTTTTTGTTGTTTGTGAAAAAGCTTCACATGCCCACTTCTTCTCTACAGAGACTGTGGTTTAAGACAAATCTGAAATTGTGCAAAATATGGTTCGATATCGGCGAATACGGACGTATGAGTAAGGTGGGTTTTTGCTTTTTCGAATGCAATTTGTATTATATTTTTATATGAAATTAATTCAACAAATCCGATCAGATACTGAAGGAGCTTCACAAGTCATGTCAAAAAGAAGATGGTACCGATGATCAGAAGAAGGGCACACAGTTGTTAGAAGTGTATGCAATCGAGATCCAAATGTACACCGAGACTAAAAACAACAAAAAACTGAAGGTAGGTTTGAATAATGCATTTCTACTTTCTGAAAATAAAATTTTATCGAACAAAACACATTTTGGTTTCTTGGCTCTTCAGTGTTATCATCCATTGAGTTGTACTAAATATATTGCAGGAATTATATCAAAAAGCATTATCAGTCAAATCTGCTATTCCTCATCCGAGAATTATGGGGATAATTAGAGAATGTGGTGGAAAAATGCACATGGCAGAACGACAATGGCCAGACGCGGCTACTGATTTCTTTGAAGCTTTTAAGAACTATGATGAAGCTGGGAACCAGAGACGCATCCAGTGCCTAAAGTATGTCTTGAATTCTTGACTTTGTTCGTGCCTAAATTTGCATGCGTTTTAGTGATGCTAAACTCAAAGCTTGTGCTTTTATATCGGTGCAACTGTGTTAACATAAGTATTGCAATTTAGCATATACAATGTTTTTATTAAATGTAAGAAGATTGCACCAGGAGTAGTTATTACAATGACCGAGATATTTTATTAGGATTCGCCTGCTTCAGCAATCGTTAGACACCACTTCTTTGCAATCTGGTCTTTCTCGTTTTATTCTTGCATTTACATTTTAAACCTGACAGTAATATTATAGATATTGGGTGTGACGTAGTTGATTCTATTATGTAGAAATAGTTACATAAATATCCTTCTATAGACACTGAATCAAATTTTAGTTTGCTGCTCTTTTGAATTCCTGTTGAACTCAATTAAGTGGTGTCTGTGTGTCAGGTATTTGGTTCTGGCAAATATGCTGATGGAATCAGAGGTCAATCCATTTGATGGTCAAGAGGCAAAGCCGTAAGTTGTCGGTAAATTTTAGCATCTTTCAGAATGTGAAACTTGAGCCTCACTGACTTCATTTTCTCTGTAGATACAAAAACGATCCGGAGATCCTGGCCATGACAAACCTAATCGCAGCATATCAAAGGAACGAGATTTTGGAGTTTGAAAAAATTCTCAAGGTAATTCTATCGTCTTAAATTTTGGTATCTGCACGTTAGAAGTCTTGTCTTCCCAACGTCTTATTTGTATTTGGTTCTGAAGTTATGTGGTGGGAATTTTGCAGAGTAACAGAAGGACAATAATGGACGATCCATTTATTCGAAATTACATCGAAGATCTTCTAAAGAATGTGAGAACACAAGTGTTGCTTAAGCTCATTAAGCCGTACACAAGAATTCGGATCCCTTTTATCTCAAAGGTGAAAAGGCTAAATTCTTCTAAACCTTATTCCTGTTTTCCTTGAGTAGCGTAAACCAAAGGGCTAAGTTTGTTGTTCTTCATGGCTGGTAAAAATTAGTGTTCGAGAATTTTACCAAAGTTGATTTCAATAGACAGAAGCCCGAAAGAAAATCACTAGTTATTTATCAACATGTATATACACACTGGCGATAATACTACACTACTCCAAAAAATAACAAATATGTATATAAAATACTAGGTTTTCGAGAAGTGGTGAGGGGCTGATGCCCCCAAACCACACACCCCAGCAGTTGTATAACGTCATTAAAGATCCATTAACGTAATATTAACATTGACTTGCAGGAGCTTAACGTACCAGAGAAGGATGTCGAGGCATTATTGGTGTCCCTTATCTTGGATAATCGAATTGATGGGCACATTGATCAAGTGAACCGGCTATTAGAACGTGGCGACAGGTCGACTTTTCTATCTCTACTATCTTCAGTTCTTTTTGTTTTTGTTTTGGTAGAATAATATATAAATTTTTGGAAAATATGGATGCAGGTCGAAGGGAATGAAGAAGTACACTGCGATAGACAAATGGAACACACAGCTGAAATCTCTGTACCAAACTGTTGGCAATCGAGTTTATTGAGACTGTTAATAGATGTGCATCTCCTTTTATCAGACGGTGTTTAGTAGTTATAGCTTGTGAAACTTTGAGCATAGAAGCACTTTCAGCTTTCCTTTTTGTTAATTATTGAATGAATGTTCGCAATTTAGGTCAATCAGCCTAAGTGCTTAACTGAATCGGGCTGCGTCTGCACATTGGTTCCGTTTTTCGTTATATTTTTTTATAATATATAATTTTGTTTTCCAAATTTCAATTGATTTTGTTTTCTGAGGAGCATCATTAACTGAATCGGGCTGCGTCTGCACATTGCTTCATCGAATGTTTGGAGTTTATGTTTTACGCATGCCGTAAACTTGGCCCGGGATTTAATTCCTATCATTACATATAAATATAATCATTAACATATATTACAAATATATAAAGATAATATAATCTCAAATTTCAAAAATGAAACAATCTTACAATGCGATCAATAATAGAATACTCCACAAAGTGGTCAAGGCAGAAAGGAACGAAGGTAATTTAGATAATAAGAATAGAGTTTGTTATTTGTCCCACATCGGTTGTGAAAGCTAAAAATGCTAGAGAAACTGACTATAAATGAAGAGGGTCTAACTTAATGGAAGCTCATACCTTTCTCGGCCTTTTGGCTAAGATCAAGTGTAGTATCTGTTCTTATCAGTTTAATATCTGATATGTGGACCATTGGTCCACACGATATTAAATTAATTTTTTAAGGGGGAGGGCCCGCAACGTCAGCTTGCTGACTGGGCCTTCGCGCGTCGCTCATGCGTTGCACTACTGCACGGGCCTGGCGCACCCCACCCAATTCAAGTTTAATGATTTTCTGATTTTTGGGTTACTAGACTTATTATTTGTTGCAATAATATACTTTTTCTTATTAAATTAGCGTGTAATTTTTTTTATAATATAGATAATTTTAGTAATAAATCATAAAAAATTATTTAAATATATACAACCAAAATGTATCAAGCGTCCAAATGAAATATGAACGCAAATGTTGCCCTGAAGTAAAAAAACAAAATATAGAAAAATTTAATAAAATATCCTTGATATTATTGTTTTATAATTATTTAATTAAGAGTGATAGATGGTAAAAATCGAAAATAATGCAATTAATGCTCCAATGAAAATCTAGAATATGATGATTTGAGGCAAGAAAAACTCTATAAAAGGAGAAATAATATGGGACAGAGTCAAATACGACAGAAGAATGTCTTTGTTTAAATTTACATATTATTAATTCCCTAATTTTTCATTTAAACAAGGCCATCTCTTTTAGCCTCTAGTGGAACACCCAATTTGGCCTAGAATCACTTTTCTTGTTATTACATATAATCCTGCAGACAAGCAATCTAAATTTAGATGAGTTAGTTTGTTTTCTCATGCAACAAAGCTTCAAAACACACAAACCTCAAAAACAGAATTGTTTATAAATAGACACACATGAGGACAATATAATAACAGATTTCTTTTCCTATACTAACTGAAAAAAAAAACATAATCTTAGCACTTTTGTTACTATAAAATGAAACAGTTCAGTATCTAATCAAATATCATACACACAAAAAAGCAGAGAGTATATATTACAATGGCACGATTCCTAGTAATAGCGTTTCTTGTTCTAGCGTGCGCTATGGAGGCCGCCCAACGGGCAGAAGGGCAGTCACAAATCGCGCAGTGCATTATAGGTTGCGGCCAGACAACGGGTTCTTGCGTGTTGGGGTGCGGTACGTCGAGCCCGCTTTCGTGCCTCCAAGCTTGTGCAACTTCAAATATCGGATGCATCACTTCTTGCTTGGGCACCACACCGAAACCAATCAAGCGTGGTTGATTTATTCATAATTTAATTCAGTCCTATATGTAAAATTAGTTTGAGCTAAGGCTATTATTGTTGTGTGTGTGTTGATGTAATCTCTCATCATGGTCTTTGAATAAATAAAATAAAAGCTATTTATATATCATTCGATCTTTCGTAATGGATAACCGATGCGACATGGCCGGAAAAGAAAAGTTTAATTTTCTGAGGTAATGCTTCAAAACAATCAATAGCCTCGTCGGGCAATAGTTGTCGGACCATAGTCGTTACGGGACATACATTTTTCCACCATATTTCTCGACTTACCGTCATCATTTGAAAGGTCATGTTTTTTTTTTTTGATATAATTCTTGCAATAAATTCAACATATTTGCTAGGTTATATGTAAATATTTTTCTCAGCCCAAAATTCGGACCATCATGAAAATTGGGTTGTTTCCTATTTCTTGATCTTTTAGTACCTTCCTCGAGTTGGAGCGTCTGCGTATACACTCATTTGTCCTGTATTTTAATGAGCTAAGCACATAATTAATTGCTCAAACGGATCCTTCTCAAGAAGTATGAAACTCAAGACAAATATGCACATGTTATCTTCATTCACCGGTTCGTTATTAACAACCATAACTATAACGAGTTTCAAAGCCTAAGAAAAAACATGATAAAATTAGACGCACTCGGTTATTCTTAGAAAGTCTATCCAATAAAAACGGTGCACGATATGCTGTCAACTCTTCAAGGACAAGAAAAAACTACCACAATTCTAGTGAATCATCACTTAAAAGAATGCATTTTCACCAATTTTCTTGGAATAATAACTTCCATGCTTCTTTCATATTTCCCTTGACTGCACCAACTGTGTTATTGTTCCACATCGATAAAGAGTTCATATAATTGAGAAGAGAAGTGAATATAAAATGGGAAGCCCTTCGGCATCAAAAAGCCACGCAGCTGCGCGGTAAACACATAGCGAACTATTCTTTCGCCTTTTACTAAAGAATACCGTGTGTTTGCCGCAATTCAAGCGGCATACGCCATTTTTTGTAGGGTGTCTCTCTTTATTGAGTGACCCCATCCAATTACAGTTTAATACTTGCATCTGATTTGTGTCTATTAGTAGGCTCTATGAATTATATCATCTAAACAATTTTATATTTTTGTGTTGATTTTGTGCATACTTAATTTTCAAAAAATATAATATATATATATATATATATATTGTTACATATTGAAGCCTACGAATTATATATAATTTACAAACACCAATAGAAGAGTGATATAGAGACATAAGAGTCTTTTAACCATAGACAATTTAGAGGTTTTATCCAAGACGAGTTTTGAATTTTTTTTCCGTAGAAAAGTGTTTCCATTTTTTTTATTATTACTAGAAACGTCCTCGAAACTTTTAAATATTTACGGAAACAACGCCGAAAATATTTACCCACTTTTATAACTATAAATTGAAACATATCTAATTCAATCCCCCCACCCCCACACACACACACAAAAACACATATTATCACAATGATTTTGGGCTCAAATTCATACATGGCACGGTTTTTAGCTATCGCGTGCTAGCATGCGCTATGGAAGCCGCCCAACGGGCAGAGGGGCAGTCACAAATAGGGTGCAGTCAGAAAACGGGTTCTTGCGTGCTATGTCGGTTTCGCTGTCGTGCTACCAATCTTGTGCAACTTCAAATATTGGATGTATCACTTCTTGCTTTGGTACACCAAAACCATCCAAGCACGGTTGATTTTATTACTTACAATATTAAAAAAATAATTCCACAGTTTATGATTATTTAGTCATATAGTTAAGATCAATTACTTGAGTTAAAGCCTTAATGTATGTTTTTGATGTAATAATCTCTCAACATGTATCCCTTCTTGAATTAATAAAGAAACTATTTATATAAATTATATATCATGAAATCTTTTTCCTAACGGATGAATGATACCATGGTTTTGAGGAATAATTAATATACAGTAAACAAAGTAGTCTGCTCCACAAAGTGGCCAATGCTTTGAATAAGGAAGGAAGGTAATTATATAATAAGAATAGAGTTTGTTATTTGTCCCACATCGGTTGTGAAAGCTAAAAATGCTAGAGAAACTGACTATAAATCAAGAGGGTCTAACTTAGTGAAAGCTCATACCTTTCTCGGCCTTTTGGCTAAGATCAAGTGTAGTATCTGTTCTTATCAGTTTAATATCTGATATGTGGGCCATCGGCCCACACGATATTAAATTAATATTTTTAGGGGGAGGGCCCGCCACGTCAGCTTGCTGACTGGGCCTTCGCGCGTCGCCCATGCGTTGCACTACTGCACGGGCCTGGCGCACCCCACCCAATTCAAGTTCAATGTTTACTATCGTATATGAATATAATCTCATTTATTCTGCCCATGATTTTAATATCAATTCTTTTTAACTAAATAATTGTAACTTTTAGTTACAGTTGATAAAACAGTACAATTGAATATAATTTTGAAACAAGCTTTAAATTTGTTGAAATAACACTTAACACTCCACTTAAGTTGAAAGAAGCTGTGTACATCTAACGAAAAGGCTTTATGCATAAGAGTCGGTTTGATTCCTATTGTCAGGATGAAACGAGTTTTCGTTGGCGTATAAAACATATTTGTCCTCTTTTTAACGAGGGAAAGCACAGATTTCTCGCTCAGGAAATATGCACATATTATCTTCAACAACCAGTTACGTAACTATAGTAAATTCCAACGTCGAACAGAAAATACGGTAAATTCCAACGTCGAACAGAAAATACGATAAGTTTTCGTTGGCGTATAAAACTTATCTGTCCTCTTTTTAACGAGGGAAAGCACAAATTTCTTGCTCACAAAATATGCACATATTATCTTCAACAACCAGTTACGTATCTATAGCAAATTCCAACGTCTAACAGAAAATACGATAAAATTACGTGCACTCGATTATCAATAAGAAACATATCCTAAAACACGGTGTGGCATTGCATGCACAATATGCTAGACCTCAAAAGTAAGCATTCCCTCCATGTGAATTTTACAAGTAAGATATTTAAATACAAACAAGTCAGATTCAAGAAATCGATGGATCTTGCTTTGTGCATAATATCGGAAGATTACTAGATGGTTCTAAACCGGACTTTATCATGCTTGCAAGAAGATTCCGAGCCACTTCCCATTTCCCATCACCACAAAGTATTTGGATTGTCATATTGTAACTAGCTACATTAGGCATCAACCCCTTTTCGACCATTTCTCTCAACATCTTCAAGGCTTCATACGAGCTGCCTTCTCTGCAGTATCCGTAGATCATTGTATTGTACACCACATCATTCGGTTCGACTTTCATTTCGCCCATCGTTTTGAATAGTTTCGACGCTTCTTTCATGTTTCCTTGATTGCACCAACCGTTTATCAAGACCCCGTAAGTACAAACATCCGCCGCCAAATTAGTCCTCTTCATGTACGAAAGTACTTCAAGCGCCTTCTCCATGTTATTCCATTTAACGAAGAAATTAATTAAGATAGTGTAGGTTACTTTCGATGGAGAAAGGCCTCTTTCCTCCATCTCACGTACAAAGTCCAATACTTGCAATGAATTTTCACTTCTCGAGCATCCCGAAATCAAGATATTGTACGTAATTACCGAAGGAGATAAACCAGATGACTTTAGTTGAGCGAACAAATTTAAAGCTAGATCGATTCCTGGTAATAGTGTTTCTTGTCCTATCGTGCGCGACGGAGGCTGCCCAACGGGCAGAAGGGCAGTCACAAATCGCGCAGTGCCTTATAGGGTGCGGCCAGACAATGGGTTCTTGTGTGTTGGGTTGCGGTACGTCGAGCCCGCTTTCGTGCCTCCAAGCTTGTGCAACTTCAAATATCGGATGCATCACTTCTTGCTTTGGCACCACACCGAAACCAACCAAGCGTGCTTGATTTATTCATAATTTAATTCAGTCCTATATGCAAAATTAGTTTGAGCTAAGGCTATTATTGTTGTGTGTGTGTTGATGTAATCTCTCATCATGGTCTTTGAATAAATAAAATAAAAAGCTATTTATATATCATTCGATCTTTCGTTATGGATAACCGATGTGACAGGGCCGGAAAAGGACAGTTTAATTTTCTGAGGTAATGCTTCAAAACAATCAATAGCCTCGTCGGGCAATAGTTGTCGGACCTTAGTCGTTATGGGACATGCGTTTTTGCACCATATTTCTCGACTTACCGTCATGATTTGAGAGGTCATGCTTTTTTTGATATAATTCTTGCAATAAATTCAACGTATTTGTTAGGTTATGTATATATTTTTCTCAGCCCAAAATTCGGACCATCATGAAAATCGGTTTGTTTCCTATTTCTTGATCTTTTAGTACCCTCCTCGAGTTTGAGCGTCTGCGTACACACTTATTTGTCCTGTTTCTTAATGAGCTAAGCACATAATTAATTGCTCGAACGCATCCTTCTCAAGAAGTATGAAGCACAAGACAAATATGCACATATTATCTTTCATTCACCAGTTCCTTATTAACAACCATAACTACAACGAGTTTATAAGCCTAAGAAAAAACACGATAAAATTACACGCACTCGGTTATTCATAGAAAGTCTATCCAATAAAAACGTTGCACGATATGCTGTCAAGTGTCAACTCGTCAAGGACAAAAAAAAACTTAATTATAGTAAATCACAACTTAAAAGAATGCATTTCACCAATTTGCTTTGAATAATAACTTCCATGCTTCTTTCATATTTCCCTTGACTGCACCAACCGTTATTGTCCCACGTCGATAAAGAGTTCATATAATGGAGAAAAGAAGTGAATATAAAATGGGAAGGCCTTCTGCTAATGAAAGGCACGCAGCCGCGCGGTGAACACATAGCGAACTATTCTTTCGCCTTTTACTAAAGAATACCGTGTGTTCGCCGCAACTCAAGCGGCATACCCCTCTTTTTGTAGGGTGTCTCTCTTTATTGAGTGACCCCATCCAACTCTAGTTAAATATTTGCACTTGTTGTTGGCTCGCATGTATTATGGACTAGGGAAGTTGTTGTATATGGGAAATGCTTAAATATTAAAAATATAGGGGCACCATTTTAATTTAAATAAAATATTATAACGTTTGATTATGTACTTATCGTTAATTTTACAAGTTCTAATCCGAATTACAGTTTCGACATATAAATTTATGTTAGTATGGAATTTGCAACTACAAAAAGAAGAAGTGAAATAGAGACATAAGATTCCGAGTCTTTTAACCATAGACAATATCGAGGTTTTATCTAAAACGAGTTTTGAATTTTTTTTTTTTGGGTAGTAACGTGTTTCAATTTTTTTAATTGTTACCAGAAATGTCCCCAAAACTTTTAAAATATTTACAGAAACAACGTCGAAAATGTTTCCGACATGTGTCATGGCGGTTCGGTTTCCAAAACGTGAAAACTCATGTGTATAGAAGGTTTTTGTGGATCATAGACTCTAACCAATTGCTTTGAACATAAATATGTAAGTTGGCCTTTAAAATGTACCATTTACTCTTTCACCCATACTTGCAATTATCAGACCATATTTTTCATAATTTCAGATTAGTTTTACAACTATATAAGCATTAGAAACAATTCTTTCTTGTCACCTCCCTCTTTTTTTTTTTTTTAATGCAAGAAAACAAAAAAACACACCACAAAAAAAAAAAAAAGAATTGTTTATAAATAGACACACATGAGGACAATAACAGATTTCTTTTTCTACTAACAGAAAAAAATAAAAGGGAAAAAAACACTCAATCTTCCCACTTTTGTTACTATAAAATGAAACATATCTATTTCAATACCACATACAAAAACACACACATTATATATCACAATGGTTTTGGGCTCAAATTCTTACATGGCACGATTTTTAGCTATCTCGTTTCTCGTGCTAGCGTGCGCTATGGAGGCTGCCCAACGGGCAGAGGGGCAGTCGCAAATAGGGCAGTGTCTTATAGAGTGCGGCCAGAAAACGGGTTCTTGCGTGGTGGATTGCGGTATATCGGTTTCGCTCTCGTGCTACCAAGCTTGTGCAACTTCAAATACTGAATGCATCACTTCTTGCTTTGGTACACCAAAACCATTCAACCGCGGTTGATTTCAATATTTAGAATATGAAAAAAAATAGAAATTCCACGGTTTATTATTATTTAGTCATATGTTTTGATGTAATAAAGAAACTATTATATATAAATAATATTATACGAAGTAGTGTGCTCCACAAAGTGGCCAATGCTGTGAGTAAGGAACGAATAGGTAATAGGTAATAAGAATTGAGTTTGTTATTTGTCCCACATCGGTTGTGATAGACAAAAATGCAAGAGAAGTAGACTATAAAATAAGAGGGCCTAACACTGTAGAAGCTCATACCTTTCTCGGCCTTTTGGCTAAGATCAAGTGTAGTATCTGTTCTTATCAGTTTAATATCTGATATGTGGGCCATCGGCCCACACGATATTAAATTAATTTTTTTAGGGGGAGGGCCGCCACGTCAGCTTGCTGACTGGGCCTTCGCGCGTCGCCCATGCGTTGCACTACTGTACGGGCCTGGCGCACCCCACCCAATTCTAGTTCAATGTCTACTGTTCTATAAGTAATAAAAACATAATTTTATTTATTTTGTCCATAATTTTATTTATTCTATCTATAATTGTAAATTCAATTTGATCCAACTAAATAATAATCATAATTTTATTTACTGTTAGTTGATAAACCAGTAAAATTGAATATAATTTTGAAACAAGCTGTAAATTTGTTGAAATAAATAACTCCACTAAAGTTGAAAGAAGCTGTACATCTAACTACAAGGCATTACGAACATAAGCGTCGGTTTGATTCCTAGTTTTCGATGGCGTATAAAACTTATTTGTCGTCTTTTTAACGTGGGAAAGCACAAATTTCTTGCTCGCATGCATTCTGCTCAGGAAATATGCACATATTTATAGTATCTATAGTAAATTCCAACGTCTAACAAAAATACGATAAGTTACATGCACTCGATTATCAATAAGAAACATATCCTTAAAGCACGGTGTGGCATTGCATGCACAATATGCCAGGCCTCAAAAGTAACCATTCCCTCCATGTGAATTTTACAAGTCAGATATGGGACAAATCAAGAAATCGATGGATCTTGCTTTGTGCATAAAATCGGAAGAGTACTAGATGGTTCTAAACCGGACTTTATCATACTTGCAAGAAGATTTCGAGCCACTTCCCATTTTCCATCGCCCCAAAGTTTTGGCTTGTCCTGTTGTATCTAGCTACCATAAGGCACCAACCCTTTTTCCGACCAATTTCTCTTCAAGCATCTTCCAGGGCTTTATACGAGCCGGCCTCTTCTGCAGTATCCCGTACGATCC